AGGACCACTATCTTGATCTGAACAGTTGGGATCATCAGGTGGTAGCATAATGATATCTGCTGAAAAAAAATCTTTTTCATCTTCTAACATGCTAACAACATCATGGAGTGAATATCTGTAATTAGTAAATTTACCATTCAATGCACTGCATAGTGTCCCGAAAAAGGAACAGTCATAATTTTAGTGTTTATAAAAAAACTACAAGATGTTCTATCATCAATTTCACGTAATTAACTAAATAAATAATAATGCAATTTAAAATTTTTAAAAGTTTCAGGAAAAAATTTAATCAAAATTGTTTATTACCTTTTTTGATTAGACATGTCAAAAAATCGAAATTTTCAGTATCGCTGACTTTAAACATAAAAAACTTCAACAAATTTTCTGATGAAACAAAAAGGTAAACAAAATAGTGAAGATGGGTGATTTATAGAGATGTGCTATAAAAAAAAACTCAAATAAGACAAAGACTAATTTGATAATGAATTTAAAAGAGCTGTTCCTAAAAAGACCCACTATGCATTGGTGGGTTAATAAGACAAGTAACTCAATAGTATATCATAATATATAACAATAAAATTATAGTCGCTAGAGTACGTTACAAAAACCAAAAGCTAAGAATTAAGTATATGCCTATAATGAGCATAAGAAACAAGAAAAACAACAGAGTTAAAAAGTAAGAAGGAAATATTATAAGAAATATACCACAATTTAAAACATCATCAATAGAGTGCATTACCTTTATTACAAATATGCAGCATACATTCATATAGAAATCAAGTCGAGTATTAAAAAGAATATACAAAGTAGCTTAATTGTATAACAGAAGAGTAAAAGTAAGTATTAATATAATTGTATGATATCTAAATGGCAATTATATAGCTGTCAACATATATGGAAGTATTGTTCAAATAAGAAAAAGCAGTATTGCCAGCATTCAACTTAGTGTCTATCACATACAATACCAACAAATTCAAACCAAGGAGACAGCCAAAATTCACCGAAACATCCTCAAACCACAATAACAAGACAACACATGCAAAACACCAAGGCCACAACCAAAAGAAAACAAAATCAAACCAAAACAACCCATAACTAAACCAAATACCCATTATATAAACTTTAAGACCCAAATATACGGTAATAAAAGTATTGCAATGCCAATTAACCATTTTTAATTATAATAAAATAGTAGAATTGCAATTAAACATAGACAAATAACCCAACTATAAGTAAACAGAATAAAATATCCCACATTTAAGTCTTCCGTAACAAGAAATAATATAATTAGGGAAATTAGGCAAACAAATAAAACAATACACTGACCCAATAGCTAGACTCAAATATAAGGAAATAGTAAAACTTCAATTAAAATACATAACAAACCAGATGTAAGCCAAAAAGAGAAAATAAACCCACATTTAAGCTTTCCGTCAGATAATATAGTATAATTAGGGAATTACGTAAACAAGAAATATAACGTCGTAGAAGTTAACCAATATCATCAAATTATACTAAATTCAGTAGTGGATTAATTCAGAGCTCGACAATTATCGAAGTTAAAAAGGATTAAACATCAAAGTACCATAATTAGAATGAAAAATAATACAAATTGTAGGTAATCATAAATTATATATAAGGCACCAATAAAATACGCCATCTGGCGAACACTCATAGAGTTATCAGCGTTAATAAGTCAAAAATATAGTTATTTAATAAAATTATTACAATAAAACTAGTCGTAGAATCTAAAGAGTACCATAATGACGGTTGGGAGGGATAATTGCCCTACCATATAAAAATTTATAAAAATTATTCATAGACTGCTTTTTCCGGAAAACCATAATTAGTGAAGGTGGTATGAGAATTCAAAATGTCAAAATTATCAATGTTCTCCAGTATCATTTACAATAAGTACATTATATAATATAACAAGAAAATAATTGCAGAAATATAAATGTAAATGTATAGGACACCTGGCGGTTTAAAAAATATTATTTAAATTTTTTTCCTAAATGTAATAAGTCCATATTAATAACGCTAATATAAAATAACATATAGAATAACCTTATTTTTATTAAATCTAATTAGGTAACGTGAGATAAGGAAATGCAGCAATGGTAGTTCAACGCCCTATCCTAGATAAACGTAATCATAGTATAAAATAGTCCACTAAGTTCCAAAATTTTTATGTATCAATCAGTAAAACGAACAAGAATAAATAATAATTTCAATCACTCAATAAGACCAAGTATAAAAATATGTATACCACTAAAATCATCAGAATTAATTGGAATTAATTGGAAAAAACATATAACCAAGAGGAACCCAGCACACAGACACATCCGTACCCGCAATTATTCTCATTCAAACTAAAACATAATCAAACAAAACATTCATCCTATATTTCAATTAAATCAGCTCCAAAGCATATTCCATTCATCAATAATCATGCACATCGTAAGAGTTGGGTCAGGGTTAGGGTTAGTAATCATAACCTAAGTACAAATTCAGATACAACATATAGACAACATTACATACCCATCCATAAACCATTGTACATCCTAATTATTAATTATATTTTAGATCCATATGAAGCAAAAACAAACCAATCAGTATACACATTATACAGGTAACGTAATTAATACCCTACCACATCCCACATTCATCCTACATTCATCCCAAAAAGAACAAAAAATAAAGCACCCAGTAAATATAATACATTTAAAACAGTTAGTATCATATAGCATACCACAACCATCCTACATTCAAACTAAGACATAATCAACCGCACCATACAAACTAAAACATAATAAGCCACACCATTCATCCTGTATTTTAATTTAATAAGCACCATAAACTGTACCATTCATCAATAATCATACACATCGAAAGTATTGGGTCAAGGTTAGGGATAGGGTACAATTATACATCACTCTACATACTTTCACCATTAAGAAACATAATGCATTCTATACGCCCCCACTATAAATTTTAAACAATCATCCCAAGAAAGAATACAACAATACAATAATACAATATGTAAATAAAATTCTTTATATTCCCAAGAGAGACTACAAGCTAAACAACAATATAATATATAAATGAAAATCTTTATATTCCTATTATGAAACCTAAAACAGTTCAAGATACATCAACCTCACATTCATCCCACATACATCCCATTCATAAACATCACCAATCTGGAAACACCAATAGTCCCATATAACATCCTACATTCATCCTATATTCATCCCAGTCATAAAGAACACTAATCTCGAAACAACAATCGTCCCAACGGTTTATTACCTACATTTATACACCTAGTCTTACCCTTACCTTTAAATCTATTGAATAACTCTATAATACTATTTCTAAAAACATCTAAACCATTAGAATAAGGAATCGGAATATTAACCTTATTAACCGGTTGTTCATTATAAAGTTCGTTCATACTCACTCCAAAATTCCCATCATTCATCCCAACATCCAAACTATCATAATTTGTCGCAATTTCATCATGTCTCTTAAAGTAATCATCAATCTCATAATCTCTAATCACCTCTTTCAAAATCTTTTTCATCTCTTTATAGCCATAACCCCTACCGCTTAAAATATTCATCAATAGTCTACACATGTACCAGAACGTGGCAAAATCACTGCAAAGCCTAAAATATCTTATAAATTGAGATCTTACCACTCCATGCATAACATGCTTGGGGTGGCAAGAACTATGATGCAGCAACGCCAAATTGTCAGTTTCTTTCAGGTGGACACAAGTATGTATACGCAATATATTATTGACATAAAATTTGTAGAAGGTTACATCCAGGTAATCCATCATCCTATCATTCATCTTGCATTCAATAACAATTCCATCAATCAGCTCATTAATATATTTACAAAATCTATCAAAATCAAATATATTATTGACCAGTAAGAAAATGTCATCCAAATATCTAAAATAATAAAAAGGTGAAAAATGTTTAAAAATTACATAATCAAAATTTTTTAAATAAAGATTGGCTATGGTTGGGGCATAGGCCTTACCCATAGCTACACCCATAATTTGCAAATAAAAACTATCTTTGTATTTAAAATCATTATTAAATAAGGTAAAATTCAGCAGGTCCAGTATCAGGTTGTCCGGGCGATGGGTCTTCTTGTTTCGTATAAGCTCCTGTCTGACAACAGCCATGGCCCTTCTCAGGTTGATGTTGGTGTATAGGGCGGCGACGTCACCCGTGATGAAGCGGTCCTCCAGTGAAACAGGTCTGTACTTGAGAGCGTCTACTAGTTGCTGGGAGTTCAGGAGGCAATGTGGCAAATCTGTGCAGCAATTTTTAAGGTTCATGTCGATGAACTCTGCAATTCCTGAACTCTCAGTGTCGACATCAGAGATGATGGGTCTACCCGGCGGACAACTCTCATTGGCCCATTTATTCTTCGCTTTGTGAATTTTCGGCAATATGTAAAACCGTCTGAAGCCGCATACAGAATTCGGAAGTATTCCCCGTGTCGATATGCGGTGGTTAATCGCTTCGTTAAATACTCACAATTCTTACCCTGCAGGCTACCGTCAATTTTCTTGTAGTATCGTGTATCGTTGAGTTGCCGCTGAACTTCCTCATCATAACGATCACTGTCCATGACCACTATTGTACTACCCTTGTCAGCCTTCCTTATTATGATATGCGGGTCCTTCTTCAACTCTGAAACAATACGAACCTCGGACTGGGTGTGATTAACCTAAATTAGTTTTTTTATTTACAAAATGTTTTTCGTTAATATAACAGAATTCCATGAAAGCATTGATGAAGGGGTCATCGTGGATGAATTTCCCTATCTGGTTTGGTTTAATATTTTTAAATTTAGCTTCCTTGTTAATAATGTATTTTATAAATTTATTATAATCAAACATTGTAGTATGACTGTAGGAGAAGTTAAACTTCATCCCCTTCCCAAGTAACTCCACTATCCCATCACTAAGAACTCTACTACTAAGGTTGAGGACTTCGATATCCTTCCTCCTCTTCAATGGCAGCCAAGGTCTCGGTTCCATGCCCTGCCATTCCAACTGTCTCCGTTCTTCCTAACGCATAAACATAAGGTGTGATTGGGCATAATTCAGTTCCCTATCATTCAGGAATCTATCTCTACTCCCATCAACCTCACCATCCCCATAGAGACCAGCTGTATATCTCGCCATGACGTTCATGTGTCGCGCTTCATCTTGTTCAACCTCTTTATCAAACTCCTCTTGCGTTAATCGACCCCCTTTATTCCTCTCCACTTCCTTGTCACTTCTATGATATTACTTGAAATTACAATGTTTTTTAATATTTGGTTACCAGAATTATATCTTATTTTTAGATATCAGAATTTCTAGCGTTCTTATGTAAGTCTCTTAACATTCAACTTTGTCAATGGCTGATCGTCCTTTCGTACTTCCAGTTTTTTTGTTTGAAACTGATTTATCTATTTTAAAAATGAATTTAATCTGTAAAAAGTTTGAGATGTTGCTGAGAAGAAAATTGTTTCTGAAAATTTCGAAAGATAGTTGCTGAGTTTGCCATAGTTTCTAAAGTATTTGGAATATCAACGTGTCGAAATTCAGCCTCTGTGTACATTTAAAGAGTTTGACAAATTTAAAGCGTTGAACTGTAGAGCGTGGCTTGATTTTTTAGTGAACTACAATTTGTAAACACGTTTTAAAGAAGGGATTGTCAAAAATTGTATACTTCCTACAAACTAACGATATTATGGCGTGATTTTTCGTTTCAAACCAATCAGCGTTAAAAGGAGGTCTTAAAATATGTATTCATAGTTTTTCATTATTTAATTCAGTGTCGGGCAACCTTTTTCGAGTTGCGGCGCACTAAGCTTAATTTTCTTTTTTCGCGGCGCACCTGTGGTTCTCACTATAAATTTCCTCGTAGGTAATTAAAATACAACAATGAATACTAGTAAAAATTTAAACATATATATCACATTTTATTAATTTTCAATATTAAATTAACATAGTCAATGCGAGCATTGCGATTGTTTTTGAGAGCATATCAAATCAATACGGGGATGTACTTGTGAAAGACAAACGCGCATCTCCTCATCTATCATTTGAAGTCTTTCGCGCTTCTTAGACTTCATTTCTGTGAGTGTTGAAAAACCTTGCTCACACAGGTAGGAACTTCCAAATGGCAACAATGATTCGATTCGCATTACTAAGTTTAGGAAATTTGGAGTTTAAGCACAACCAAAACTCAGATAGCTCCTTTTCAGTGAATAGTCTTTTGAAAACTAAATCGTTTTTTAAATCAATTAAGTTTTCTTGCATTTCTTCTTCCAGATGTTGAATTTCACAGTGCATAAATGGGTTAACTACCCATTCCATCTTTTCAACGTCCAAGTTAGGAAAATATTTATCAAAAGAAGCGGATAGTAATGTCAAAGTTTCTTCGACTTCTTTTTTGATAATAGATTTTGATGGATTCTCTTGAACCATCGGAAAAGATGCAAAGTTTTCTTTAGCAATGTTTAAATTCCATAAGCTGAGTTTTTCCTTAAACGCTTTCAACTTGGTGGAGATAGTGATAATGTTTTCCTGAGCACCTTGCAAATTTAAATTAAGGCTGTTTAATTTGTCGAAAATATCACCCAAAAATGAAACTCGTAACCACCAAACATCACTCATCATGAAGGAAAATTAATCTCTTCGTTATCAATGAATGCCATTATTTCATTTTTCATTGAAATAAATCGATTTAAAACTTTGCCTTTCGACAACCATCTGACTTCAGTATGAAACAATAAATTTGTATAATCGGAATCCATTGCTTCACAAAATGTTGAAAAAATTCTCGATCGAAGAGCATTTGATTTGATGTAATTGACTACTTTGACAACTTCATCTAGAGTTGTGACAAGGATGGGAGGAACCGACTTTGACACTAACATTTCTCTATGAACCATACAGTGAACAAATTTGATATTTGGATTTTTTTTTATGACATGTGCTATCAATCCCTTTCTTGAACCTTTCAAAATGTCAAAAATTTATTTGTTGTCAAAATGTATTTTAACACGAAGATGACTATGTGGTTTGATTGGAAATAGATATGGAGATCAAAGTATATTAACGCGACCCCGGCCGTGCGGATGATCAACTCGTAAAAGGTTGTATAAATTTTTATTTCAAAAAACGTGAATTGTACAGTCTGCGTATCTACACTAGTGTTTCGAGAATTTTCTACACTCTCATCAGGAATTGCAGACGTCGTATGTATTCCTCCGTGTTCAAACTACGTCATACAAATCGCCGGTAAAATCTAAATCAATAAAATCCGGAGTAATATGGAGAATACGACAGAATACGATTAAATTCCTGGACGTGATGTGAATATTTTATTAAATTCTAAATTTTAAACAATATGCACTGTCTGCGTTGTCGACACCAGTGTTTCGAAATCTCATCAGGAAACAGCAGACTGTGCAAAAAAATAAGATCATTTGGTAATTTACAATAACACAATAACATCTTATAAAATGTAAAACAAACAATCAAAAAATGAAATGCAGATTAAAAATGCCCCTAAAAATGTCAATTAAGAATGCAGCTAAAAATATAAAGTGAAGTAAAACCTAATTGTAAATTGAATTCAAACTCAAACATCAAATTAAATGTAAAACATATAAAAGGGAAACTAAAATTATAACATGTAACAAGAAAACCACTATTTAAAACCAATGATCAACCGAGTTCATAAAACCAATACGTGTCGTGAAATGAAAAACTAAACCCAATCAATACGTGTAAGTGAGAATAAAATAATGCAAAATAATCAATATCATTAAGATAAGATAAAATAATGCAGGACCGTAATTGCAATAAATAAGTAAAATCGGAATAAACGTAATCAAATCATATTAATATCCTATACCAATCTATATTCAACTCCTTATTCATACCCCTACATATCAATCCCTAAGCACATACATACACCACACATGTTCATACATATACAAGTACATCCATCCACAAACCACATACATACACATACAAAGATTGGAACAATCATATTAAATAAAGAAACAACCCATAATATTATATAAAGAATATGTAAAAAACAAATCATCTTATATAGCATATATAAAACAATCACATTATGTCGGATACTAAAACATCATCATGCCATATAAAATGTATGAAAATAGACAAGAATATAGTGTGCAAACGTTGCTCATGAAGTATGGTCTACCTACACTTACGTTAAGTTATAAAATAGTTTAAATACATGTATTTACAATTACCTATGGTTATAATAACCTCGAATGTATCGTATAGATTCTCCGTGAAATTTATTATCTATCCGCCGAACTTTTAGTTAAAATAAATAATTAAAACTACAATAATTTATAAAATTAATGGCACTAAATATAAATGAAATGTAAATAATAAAAGTAAACAACAGTAGAAGTTAGTCAGATAAAATATATCACTACATAATTATGAGGATTAATAAATTGCGCTTAGTAAATTATGGAACACCTCTCGTTCTATAGTTTATGCCCTAATACCTAGCTATGACACATAATATACCAACAATAAATCATAGTAGCAACGTAATATCAAATACATATCAAGTTTAGTTTAAATTTAGTTTTTAATTTAATATTAATTTAATTTATTATAATAATTTAATAGTTAAATTTAATATAGAAACATTCGGTTGCGGTATTAAGTTGCGTTTGATGAGTTTTAAATTTAAGCTTTAATAGAGTCTTATGGAGTTTCATAAGGTGAGTGAAGTGTTTGAAAGATAGTTGCTGAAGAATGTGCCATTGTTTCGGAAAAGAAGTTGTAGTTTTGTTTTGATGAGTTTGAAATATAGTTATGGAATATGACATTGTTCATAATAGTTTGATATTTATTTACAGTTGCTGACGAGTGAACCATTGTTTAGAAAGATCGCTTGCTGTTGTTCCTAAGGAAATTGAAATATCATTGCAATGAAAATAGTTGCTGAAGGGCTTGATGAGAAAATGGTTTCTGAAGAGTTTCAAAGTTAGTTTCTGAAGTGTTTTGTATAATGTTGAAGATAATATTGTTTCTGGAAAGTTTGAAAACTATTAAACTCTATAAAAATTTATAATACTCAAGAAAACTCTCTGCTTGAAATATAGTTGTCGAATATGACATTGTTTCTCAAAAGTTTAATATTTACAGTTGCTGACGAACAAACTCGCTCTAACAAACTCGATAAATCCATTGAACTCTGTATAACTATGAAATTCTAAAAAATGTACATTTCTATGAACTCTTTAAAGCCCCTAATGGTTAGGGTAACACACTGTGAAGCTGTAAAACTCAATTTTAGAGTGTTTTATAAACTTATGTAATGTTTTACACTGTTTTATCGAGTTATGAAGAGTTTTATAAGGTTTAGCAATTTTTACTTGAAATTATAATGTTTTTTAATATTTTGTTACCACAATTATATCTTATTTTTTGATATCAGAATTTCTAGCGTTCTTATGTAAGTCTCTTAACCTTCAACTTTGTCAATGGCTGATCGTCCTTTCGTACTTCCAGTTTTTTGTTTGAAACTGATTTATCTATTTTAAAAATGAATTTAATCTGTAAAAAGTTTGAGATGTTGCTGAGAAGAAAATTTTTTCTGAAAATTTCGAAAGATAGTTGCTGAGTTTACCATAGTCTCTAAAGTATTTGGAATATCAATGTGTCGAAATTCAGCCTCTGTGTCCATTTAAAGAGTTTGACAAATTTAAAGCGTTGAACTGTAGAGCGTGGCGTGATTTTTTAGTGAACTACAATTTGTAAACACGTTTTAAAGGAGGATTGTCAAAAATTGTATACTTCCTACAAACTAACAGCATTATGGCGTGATTTTTCGTTTCAAACCAATCAGCGTTAAAAGGAGGTCTTAAAATGTGTATTCATAGTTTTTCATTATTTAATTAATGACTTGGCATATACGCTGATGAGAATGTATGGAAAGAAGCCTATAAATACAGACTGAAAAGCTCTAGTTTTAGTCGTTTATGATTTTGTTTTAAGTTTAGTTTAAATTTAGTTTTTAATTTAATATTAATTTAATTTATTGTAATAGTTTTATAGTTAAATTTAATATAGAAACAGTCGGTTGCGGTACTAAGTTGCGTTTGATAAGTTTTAAATTTAAGCTTTAATAGAGTCTTATGGAGTTTAATAAGGTGAGTGAAGTGTTTGAAAGATAGTTGCTGAAGAATGTGCCATTGTTTCGGAAAAGAAGTTGTAGTTTTGTTTTGATGAGTTTGAAATATAGTTATGGAATATGACATTGTTCATAATAGTTTGATATTTATTTACAGTTGCTGACGAGTGAACCATTGTTTAGAAAGATCGCTTGCTGTTGTTCCTAAGGAAATTGAAATATCATTGCAATGAAAATAGTTGCTGAAGGGCTTGATGAGAAAATGGTTTCTGAAGAGTTTCAAAGTTAGTTTCTGAAGTGTTTTGTATAATGTTGAAGATAAAATTGTTTCTGGAAAGTTTGAAAAATATTAAACTCTATAAAAATTTATAATACTCAATAAAACTCTCTGCTTGAAATATAGTTGTCGAATATGACATTGTTTCTCAAAAGTTTAATATTTACAGTTGCTGACGAACAAACTCGCTCTGACAAATTCGATAAATTCTATAGAACTCTGAATAACTCTAAGAAATTCTATAAAATGTACATTTCTATGTACCCTTTAAAGCCCCTAAGGGTTAGGGTAACACACTGTGAAGCTGTAAAACTCAATTTTACAGTGTTTTATAAACTTATACAATGTTTTACAGTGTTTTACCTAGTTTTGAAGAGTTTTATAAGGTTTAGCAATTTTTACATGAAATTATAATGTTTTTTAATATTTTGTTACCAGAATTATATCTTATTTTTAGATATCAGAATTTCTAGCGTTCTTATGTAAGTCTCTTAACATTCAACTTTGTCAATGGCTGATCGTCCTTTCGTACTTCCAGTTTTTTTGTTTGAAACACTGATTTATCTATTTTAAAAATGAATTTAATCTGTAAAAAGTTTGAGATGTTGCTGAGAAGAAAATTGTTTCTGAAAATTTCGAAAGATACTTGCTGAGTTTACCATAGTCTCTAAAGTATTTGGAATATCAATGTGTCGAAATTCAGCCTCTGTGTCCATTTAAAGAGTTTGACA